ATATATATATATATATATATATATATATATATATATATATATACATACATTCCAGTGGACGTCATTCACTAAATAGCAAATAATATTTATGAAAATGTCAACTTGTAGTTCACAGTGCTCACTGTCATTCTACTGTAATAAATAATACATCGAATATTATTTTTCGATTATATTTTGTATTAACAATCTGAAACAATCTGAAATGTAACTAAAGCTGTCAGACAAATGTAGTAGAGTAAAAAGTAAAATGTTGGCCTAATTGTAGTACAATACTTATGCACATTTCACCCGTGTTTGAAGTATATATTTAAAAAAATAAAAATAAAAATGTACAAATATTTTTTTAAATGAATGAATGATGACACAACGTCTTTCCATCCCGATAGTTATTGTTTCTGTTGTCAAGTGTAAAAATAAAAGAAGAAAAAAAAGCCGTGCGATGGGCGGGACTTTCCGTTGACACAGTGATGACGCATATTTCGAGCGACTGCACCGCGCGCTGTTTGGAGGAGGATTCTTCAGTGAGTTTTTTTAGCGGTGCAAATATTGCTTTTTACGGTTAAATTCGTACATATTTCTCTACCGTTGAGCAATACGCGGTACCGGCATGTTTACCCCCCGCGCCAACCCGAGCTCCGGCCGCCGGCAGCAGGGCAGGACCACCGGGAGGAAGAGCGTCTCCGGTGCGGCCGCCAGTCTGCTGTTCTCCCCGCGCAGGACGCCTCTGTCCGCGAGGTGAGTGGAATCACTGAACGGACGTTTTAGCTGTGTTTTGTGTTTTGTGTTTTGTGTTTTGTGTGTGTGTGTGTGTGTGTGTGTGTGTGTGTGTGTGTGTGTGTGCGTGTGTATGTGTGTATATATATATATATATATATATATATATATATATATATATTATATAAAAAATTGTATTAGACTCACCTAGATACGTCTAATGGAGTCAAATACAATAATCCTGTTGTAAACCCTCCCTTTGTGTGTCAGTTTTTAGTATTTTTATTGAACTCAATGTCAATTTCGGAGGATGTAGTTTGTGGTGCTCTTGAGTTGCAATCATTTTCTTCCTCTTATTTTTTGTTCACCCCATTTATATTAATGAGGGTTAATATTAAACACCTATCTTAATATAGTGTATTACAGTTCAACAGCACCAAAGTAGTCACAGCTCAGTGATATTCGGCTGATGTTCCTGAGGATCTGTTGAACTCTCAATCTCTCTCCATCAGGTCAACACCCACCCGAGTGCAGAGCCATTCAGCTGCAGATTCAGTCAACTATGACGTGCAAACCTTTGGCTCGTCGCTGCCTGTCAAAGTGATGGAGGCACTGACGATGGCTGATGGTAAAGAAACATGAAGTTCATGTTCCTGTTGATGCCTCTTTTTCTGTTTGTCAAGGTTTGTTAAAAGCTCTGAAAGCCACTGAACAATTCTGTGTGTGGGTCGGTCCCTCTAGTTGATGACCACATCTCAGTGAAGGTGAATGAGAGCGGCTGGGCCTGGATGGTTTGTGGAGAGAGACTGATCCTCTGGAAGATCTGCCAGACCGCTGTGGCCAAGGTACAGTTGAAGATCTAGAAAATAAAAAGCTGCAAACACGCTCCAGACGTCCCCCTTGCTGCTTTAGTCTGCGTTATCTGGTTGTTCATTTAAAACATGTTGGTTTTGTACTGTTGGTTGGAACAGACAAGCAATTAGAAGACGTCACCATCGGCTCTGTGAAACTGTGATGCTCATTTTACGATATTTTCTCATTAATCAAAACATAGACGTTTAAGAGCGTTAAGCATATTTAGATGATTATCGGAATAGCATTGTGAATTGTAATTATTGTGGCCAGGTTAATTGCGATATGAAATTCTCATATTGTCCCGTGTTTAGTTGCAGTTCTTAGAGGAAACTCTCACAGATTATTCATTCAAGTCTTATAATCCAGCCACTGTCTGTGTGTTCTCCTGCAGCTGTCGGTGTGTAAGGAGCTGCAGCTGCCCAGCAGTGAGTACAACTACACAGCCGACCTCGTGGCCGTGTCGTCCGCCGCTCCTCTGGAGACGGCCCCCGTTCAGTCCATCTCCGTCCTCGCCGTGGCTGCGGAGGGAACGGCTCGCTTGTGGACCAGCCTAGCCCAGGAGGGCAACTACACAGAGACGGACGTGGACCTTGGAGATCTCTGCAACTTTGTTGTTGCCGTCAATGTAAGTAAATCTGATTTATTTTGATGTCTTTGCAGCTGAAACCTCTAACCTGACTCTTAATACAGCAGCTACTAGTGAATCCATATCACAAGCCTCTATATTTACAATTCATCACTGAAGATCTTGTTGTTTTTCTCTGTCTTTATTTCTGACTCTTCTCCCCTCTCTCAGGGCGGAAGCTTCGTCTTGTCCTCAATGAAGGGTCGGCTGTTGAGAGCGAGTGCCGATTCCTCGGGGAAGCTGCAGTACCGAGCGCTGCAGCAGGGTCAGGGAATGCTCTCCGGCATCGGACGCCGTGTCTCCAGCCTGTTCGGCATCCTCTCCCCGCCAGCCAACGACACAGTGAGTCCTGCTGACAGATTTCGCCGTAAAGTGGAGTTCAGTGGGTGGTGGTCAGTAGGGCTGCCCCGCTGAAATGTAGATAACCTGCTATAGAAGCTCCTCATTGAAGGACTCAAAACTCCTCCTTAAATCTAGCTTTGCAAATGTCACATATGTTAACGGGCAGTGCTCTGCAATGCTTACAGGCATATGTAACCAACATTTTAAACTGTAAAAACTATATATATTGGTAACAATTCATTAGTAACCAAATTAAAAGGATCTGTTCCAAAAAGGCTTACGTTGGGTTGTATCACCTTTTAGTAATACTGTAATGGTTGCTTGGAACTACTAAACATTTTACACTAAACTTCCATGTTTCTAATACGAATATTAGAAACAAATATTAAATAGCAACAAATATTTTGACGGATGATGGAATGAATGAATTTCTCTACCGATTTAGTCTGAACCGTCCAGTTCAACACCTCCAGTATGTGTGTGTGTGTGTGTGTGTGTGTGTGTGTATATATGTATGTGTGTATATATATATATATATGTGTATATATGTGTATATATATATATATATATATATATATATATTCCCTTAAAGACCTACAAACCGTTTCAGATGAAGCCTCAGCTATAGCTCCAGTTGAAATACTTCTCTGTTTGTCTGCTGCAGCTCCACAGTGTGCTGTGGGTGGGCGGAGCCAGCAGCCTCTACACGCTGACCAGCTCCAGACTGAGTAAATGGGAGGTGGACGACAGCTGGGAGCACCAGATCCTCAGCTGGGACGCCCAGCGAGCGCTGACCGAGAGCATCGCCGACGCCATCTGGGTCAGTACGAGGGGAGAAAAACAAAAAGAATCATTTGATATATATATATATATACACATACATATATACATATACATACATACATACATATACCGTTTATCGGTCTGATTCAGTGTCATACAGTGGTGGAGAAAGTATTCCGATCCTGTACTTCAGTAAAAGTACTAATGCCACACTCTGAAAATACTCTTTCACAAGTAAATGTTGTGCACATAAAGTATGTGAACATAATCAGGAAAATGTACTTAAAGTATTAAAAGTAGAAATACTTGAAGCAGAAACAAAGCCTTGTTAGTTTATATAGTATTACCAATGACACGTACACACTATTGTATATTATTACTTATGCATTGATGTTTAAGCTGTTGTTTTTCATAATGGCTGCAACTTTTCATTATGGATTAATCTGCTTATTATTTTCTCCCCGAATCGATTGGTTGTTTGGTTTGTGACGCCTTCAAATGTCTCGTTTTATCCGACCAAACCTCAAAATGTTTCAGTTCATTCGTCTTATCATTGAAGACGAGGAGATTCACGGGACATTTGAGAAGCTGAAACCATCAAATGTTTCAGGCATTTCTGCTGATAAATCAATTATCAAAACAGTGGTAGATTCATTTTTTTGATGACTGACTAATCTTTTCAGCTCAAATCTATTTTTTGTTTTTTTACGATGCACTCTTTCAAAGGTTCTTCAATCAGATTTTTAAAGTAACCGATAACTAAAGCTGTCAGATAAATGTAGTCGTATAAAAAATACTATATTTCCCTCTGAGATGTAGTCGAGTACAAGTATATATTCTTCAAAATTGTACTCAAGTACAGTACTTGAGTACATGTATAAAGCCCATCACACAGAGAAACAATGTTGGTGAACATATATTTTATATTTTAACAAGAGGTAAAACTGTAACTCAAAATGCAGTTAAAGCTCTTTTTTTATTCAATCAAATCCTCAGTTAAACTCTTGACTTCCATCATTTCTACTGCATGTTGGCAGCCACATTGATCCACGTCGATCAGATCATCTTTAGAACATTTCAATACTGCGAATGTCCGTCATGATTTCTTAACATTCGTCTCCCACCAGGGGTCAGAGAGCAACTACGAGGAGCTGAAGGAGGGAGCGAACGTAACGTACCTGGACATGAAGCACAGCCAGTGAGTGTGTGTGTGTGTGTGTGTGTTTATATACACGTGCACAACTTCCTGCTTGTTGTTCAGAATAAAAGGTCTTAAGTTGTCTTTGCTGTATTTAAACTTTGATGACATTTTCTCAATTTAAAAGTCTCCCTACTGAACAATGTCTTTCTGTTAATTATTATTTTTAATTCCCCCCCATCTGATTGTGATGTATAACCTCTTAAATCCAGGTCTGTGAATAGGAGGTAGAGGGAAATACAACTGTCTTGCGAGGAGACAAATGAAAGCATGAGACTTTAAATTCAGGTTTAAAATCACAGATAATCTGTGACTGAAGGAAGGATCCAGAAGTCCAGAAAGAAGTAGTGAGGAGTTAAAGGAGTAGAATTAACTTACTTATAGCTGCAAAGCATATAAAGTACACAGGGAACCTGATACCATCTTGCAGGATTTATGTAAGGTATTATTAGTTTAAAAATAATAAATCCAAAGACATACCAAGTAGATCTGAGGCCGAACTGAGCCGGAGTCTTTGTGTTTTCAGAGCCGGCCTGGTGGTTTTGGCTGCAGCCTGGCACCCCTCAGACACTCCCTGCCTGGCTTACTACTGCCTGGTCACCCTGCAGGACAACGGAGCCGCCATCTCCGACCAGTTCACCGTGGAAGTCACCAAGTACAACCCTCCATTCCAGGTCAGTCCTGATCCTTGGACAGTGCAGGTCACTCTATATCAAATATCTGTATCATGTCAGCATTTGAGTGTTCAGGGTTTTACAGGACTGTAACTCTCTAATTAATGACCCTTTTATGCTGCATTAACACTATGAGCGACAAAGCAACAGCCTGAAAGTCATTTTCAATGGAAGTCGTAGGCCTGAAGCTACAAACTGACGCCCGAAACAAAAATGAAACTAGCCCTCTTTTGCCCTCTGATGACGTGAAGTGTCGACCAATCACATGTCTTTGTTTCACCATTTCCGGTTTCCTTCTCTCCCCACAAGTCCTGTTCTGTTCCATCTCAACAATGGGGGGAATGTCTTCTTGCAGTCATACATTGTTTGGTATACGAGTGTTAATGGCACATTTAGTGCTCACTTTACGACATGCAGGCAGTCACTGGTTTGAATTTATGACGGGGTGGTATGAAGATCCTTGAGAGGACGATGATGCTGTTTCCCCAGGTTTTACGTTCGAAGAAGCACGCTTATTTCTTCCTCGATGTCTTGTTTTCCCAGAGTGAGGAGGCTCTGCAGGCCACTCGGCTGGCGTTGCCGCGCTCCCCCGGCTCCACCGCCTTCCTGTATACCGAGGAGCTGGTGTTTGCTTGCTCCACGGGAACCAGCAGGGGAGGACTACCCGATGAGAAAATCAGCTTCAACTCACCCGGTGAGTAAAGGACCGTTCGCTGCTCTCTGGCTCCACAGCACCAGAGCACAATCAGATTAGTGTAATAATGCCGTCGGGTGAGATATTATAAAATGGAGAGTGATGGAATTACAGTTTATACGACTTAAATGATGCTTAAGAAGTCAGTTATTTAAGATGTTACAAGTAATTACGCACAGGGAACATCGAGTAAACTGTAAAAACCAACAAGTGAGTAATGAATAAAGTGTAAGAAAACTGGAAATTGACCTCTTTTAATTGTAAATGACGATGTAATTATTTATTGGCCCATGATAGAAAAGACCAAACCCCACGATGAACACACAGAAGATGTCTCTGAATGTCTGACGACGATGTTTCTCTCTCCGTCCGTCTGTCCGTCCAGGTGATGGTGTTCGTGGAGGAGGCTGCTGCGTCAACCTGCCCGTGTTTTTCTCCCAGAACAGCGGCCTGGTGGCGGTGGTGGCCCGGGAGAGCGCCTCCATCCTGCCGGAGACGATGGAGGACTCGCTGTGCTCCTCGCTGACTGCAGCTCCGGAGGTGAAACTAACTAATTCATTTACACAATATCTGTAAGATATTCTAGTCAGGATTCAGTCTTTCTCCAGACGTTTGCATCCAACTATTCACACATTAATAATCCAGTTATGAGAAAAGAAAATCTACTGAACCATGTGACGATGCATTTGATGTTGACTGAATTTAAAATGCATTTCTGGTTTTGTTTTCTTATGTTTCAGGTTTCAGTCATGGAGACTCCAACCAGAGCAGAGCCTGTAGCTCAGGAGGACAAGACCAAACTCCTGAAGATGGCTTTCCTGCAGTTCTGCCGGTACGTCAATAAATAACTCAACTCATAACGTAAAGAAACGGGACAGGTTGGCTGCTGGTTTCACACAAAGAGATCCGTGTTTTTAGTGACAAATGTTACACAATTTGTGTTTAATCATTAAATTATTACCAAATCATTTCACTGATCAAGTAAAAACCTCAAACAAGCTTCACAAATAGAGTTCTCTCTCTCTGCATCATGTTGTATGGAGGCATTTGGCTGTTTTTCATCACGTTGGACTTCAAATGAACATTTAATTGAGATTGGTGTTCACTTATTATTGAACAAAATAAAAGATAAAATATTTTTGAAGGCTCATATCAATACTTGTTAGACTGAAGCAGCATTACTTCGGATTTAGAAAGGATTTAGTCCCTGTGATTCTTTAAATAAAAACTTTATTTATTTTCCTCTGTCAGTAACGATCTGGTGGGTGCTCAGACGGTCACAGACGAGCTCTTCCCCGCCGACGGTGACGGTGAGGAGGGAGCCGAGCTGGACGGCATGGTGACTCGCATCAACCTGGACCTGGTGGACGATTACCCGGCCTCCGACCCTCGCTGGGCCGAGTCTGTCCCCGACGGTGAGGAGGGAGAGAGGGAGAGAGGCCCTTAAAAAACCTGACAATTATATATAAAGGTGCCTGGTGTAGCACCTGTTTACATATGAAACATATAGTGCTTATATTTATAATTAACAAAGACTTCCAGACTCTTTATTTAATATGTTGGATTGTGATTTTTGTCAATAACAAATTAGTTTTTGTCATGAAGCGACACGTTAATGGGAGAGCGAGAGAACTAAAAATACCTTTCAGTGTTTCACTGTAATTCCATCAAATTGATTCAGTAAGTTTAAAGATATTTGTGTCATATGTTACATTAAGATTAAGATAATACTTGAATGCAGAGACTGCAGGAGATATTTTCTCAGTTTCTAGTCACAGGGTTCTCCATTAATACAACATACATTAATAACATGTTTGTCTTTTTAAATGTATATTCTTTTACTTACCTCAGGTCCCTCAGATATATATTCCTTGAATATCCTCAAACTTACTCGTCCATATTTCTTTTTCTTAACTACACAAAAGAAAATGAATCGCTGTAAATAATTTAAACATAATTCGAATAATTAGCTGTTTTTGCTTAATGAATTCTAATTCAGTCACAAAAAAGTAATTTTGTTAAAGTTGCTTGAACATCTAATTTAAACAGTTTGCACTTTTTCTGTGATTATATCTGTTTCTGTTCCTCCAGAGAGCGCCGGCATTCGTCTCACCTCCCTCATCATCCTCCACCAGCTAGAGGACAAGATGAAGGCCCACGGCTTCTTCATGGACTTCCTGCTCCAGGTAAACACACACACACACGGGCGTATCTCTTAAATATGAGAAATAATGGTGCACAGAGCTTTAGTAGTGGTCTGACAATGAATCCAGCCTGTGTTATCTAAAAGAAACTAATCATATTTTAGAGCTGTGCTCATTTCAGGATTCTGTTCTTTCATCAGGTGGGTCTGCTGGACCGTCTTGGCCACGTGACGGTGCGCTCGTCTTCCATGGCGACGCGCCTGCTGCTGTGCGAACACGCCGAGAAGCTTCAGGCAGCGATGTTGCTGAAGAACCACCACACCAAACACGGCGAGCTGGTGAACCGGGCCATCGGCATCGCGCTGCAGAGGAACAATGCCGCCGTACCACCCAGCCTCACTGCCGCCGACGTCTTCTTCAGAGAGGTTCGTGTCTGACGGTGTTCTGCTCTGATGATCCAGGTGGTGTGGGGAAGATGAATTCAATCTTTTGTTTTCCGGTGCACCTGCAGGTGTCTCAGATCTCCTCGGTGTTCGATTGTCTGCTGGATGAGGAGGAGCGGAGTCTGAAGGAGAACCCGGTCGACTCTGTGCAGTGGGCCGAAGTGGTTCTCACGGTCAACAACATCATTAAGGTAAACATATTCATGGTATCGTAAAGCATGATGTCTAACCAAAGAGGGAGGAAAACTAATATTAAAAAGTAAACAAAACTTAGTAATTTAGAGAAGTAAAATAGTTGATCGGTTTCATTTTTACAAGTGAAAAGTCATGAATGTTGTCACATTTTATTTGGAAATGTCAGGAAGATATTTGGTTAAAATCAGGCTTCAACCTCCGGTTCTGAAAAAGTGAAGCTGATGCTGACGTGCCTTGAAGCTGCATTCTCTCTAGTGACCACCAGGGGGCGACTCCTCTGGTTGTATAGAAGTCTATGAGAACATCACTCTACTTCTCTCTTGATTTATTACCTCAGTAAACATTGTAAACATGAGTTTATGGTCTCAATCTCTAGTTTCAAGTCTTCTTCAACACAGCATGATGTTCATTTAGTAAATTATGGTCCATTTAGAGTCAAACGGACCATAAAGCAGGGTATGCTTTAGGGCGGGGCTACACAGTGATTGACAGGTCTCTACCACAGCGTTGTCCGGTCTGGGAGTTGTCCGTGTTTTCGTCTTACAACTTTAACCCTTTCATAGAGTCTTTTGAGTTCATGAAAGTTAATTTTAACATTTTGGTCGCTTAAAAATGTCTTATTCAGCATCTGGTTGTACTTTGCTCCACCCTCTCGTGTCACTTCACTTCTGGTAGCAAAAAAACAAGTGGCAACGGCCAAAATACCGAACTCCAGTAGTCCACAAACCAATGGGTGACGTCACTATATATACAGCCTGTGGTCAAAATACTGCCAGTAGCAAGCAAAAAAAGCTATTACCAGGAATTAGTTTGTCAATTTTTAGTTGCTACTCTCAATGTTTCAAATGTTTTGCCAGTAAAGATCTCAGTAGGGAAAAGAAATGCTAATAATTGTACTGTGTGTGTGTGTGTAGGACATGCTGCAGGCTGCTGGCCAGTACAGGGAGACGAAGGCCTTCATGTACAGAACGTCTGAAAGCTCTGCTGCAGAGCCGGAGTACAGCCCATGGACAGGTATACCTTTAATTCTTCATTCTTCTACCAGCAGCGTCAGGTCGCTGCATGTTGCTGTTGTAACTGCCCCAAGATGCTCGTAGTTTGTTTAATTCATTTATTGACCAATAAGTCTATGTGGAAATTAAACTGAAAGTGCTTAAATAATGCATGACCTTATTGCTGTCAGTGTTTACAGTCTCTCATTTGAGACTCAGTTAAACTTCTGACTTGTTTCTATCAATGCTGTATGAAGAAGTCGTTCCCTGTGAAAGTGTTTTTTGTCGTAGGATAACGTATTAAACTCGCGTCTTCTCTCCTCACAGCGTCAGGCGCTGTTGGCGGCGTTCGCACCGTCATCTCCCGCCAGCATGACATCATCCTGCGCTCGGTTTACCCGCACGCCGACTCGGAGCTGCGCAGCGCCCTTTGCGAGCAGCTGGTGGCGCTGTTGGACATCTACCTTGGCGGCTACGTGGCCCAGCTGACCTCGCTGCAGCAGCAGAGGCCCCCAGGGGCCCAACAGGAGCGGTATAACAGCCTGGAGATGGAGTACAGCCACCGGCGCTCCGAGCTGCTGGCCCCGCTGTGTAAGTCCAATGATGGAATAAGATTTGAACCATTGACATCTCAAACTAGAGCCCTGCCTGTACTGATGGCAATATTTAAAAGTTTAAAGCGTCGTATGACACGCGCTGTACAACCACAATGTTACCGGTTCTGTTTCACTCTGTTGCAGGTCGTACCTTTTGGTTTCCTGTTTCTCTCTGACTCTCAGTAGTCGGATAAAGGCAAAAATTCCCAAAACGTGTTTTTAAAAAGCCTAATCATGATATATTGACCAATATTTGGTCCTATGAGAACCCATATATTTCATTATTAGAGTTTTAGCCGAAAGTATGTACTGAGCAGGACATTTAAAAATGAATGTTTCAAAAACACCAACAGCAAATATAACAGTTGACTTTAAACTTCACTTGAAATTAGATTAAAATATCAGTAGCCATAAATATCAACTCTATATATATATTTATATATATATATAAATTCATATATATATATATATATATATATATATATAAGAAACATATCAGCATGAAAGCACTTTAAATCTAAACTGTGATTAACTATACTGAACAATACAAAAAACATTAAGTGGTTTTGTTTCGCTTTTAAAACGGAAAACTGATTAATTTATCGTACATATGAATTCATTCTTCATCTACTAATATGTGTGTACTGTATTTTTCATGTTACTTTTCCGTCAAAGTATATCAGTCGAATAAACGTTTCATAATTTAATATTTAATATTATTATTGTCGTCCTGAGTGAACTCTGTGACAAACAGCAGCTGTAACTACATCAAGAGTTCTCAGTATTCTGCTGCTTAAGATCCTCGAGAGGTACAAGAACAATTGTATGTAATAAACATAAAGAACATAAAATTACATTTTATGTATAAAAAAATAGAAATTGAAGTTGTCGGAGTTCTACAATCTACTGTTATATTTACACTTAGACAAAGTCAGAAACTAATGAGCTCTTTGTCTATTTTGGCATTTAAAAACACAGTTAACAGTTACAGTTAAAAAGTGGATTAAAGAAACCGATAAGGCCAAAATCTAAAATAAAAAACAGTTAAACAAGGTTTGAATGTGTGTTGACATAGAGTCTTGTGTGTATCCGAAGCTGTCGCAGTGTATCGGGAGATTGTATTTGTGTTTTACTTTCAGAGTTGTCACTGTGCAGTTGTTATGTGTTGCAGTGGAGCTGGGTCAGTACCAGTGGGTGGCAGCGCTGGCTGAGAAGTACTGTGACTTCGACATCCTGGTTCAGATGTGTGAGCAGACCGACAACCAGAGCCGCCTGCAGCACTACATGACCAAGTTCGCAGACCAGGTAAAACCAGAAACGCTAAGGGACCTCTTTGAGAAATAATGGGTTTGCGTGTTAAAGGAGCTGTGGAGCAATGTTTTAATGCACGGGACCCCGGTTTGTTTGCACAGCACACTCTACTAACACACACTGTAGACGCACACGATGTACCAACAGTGTGGTGCTTTGAGGAAGACTTGAAACTAGAGATTGAGACCATAAACTCATGTTTACAATGTTTACTGAGGTAATAAATCAAGAGAGAAGTAGAGTCATTTTCTCATAGACTTCTATACAACCACAGGAGTCACCCCCTGGTGGTCAGTAGAGAGAATGCAGGTTTAAGACATGAAGCTTTGACTTCACTTTTCAGAACCGGAGATTGTACTGAAGTTTGCAGTAGACAAGCATCTCCTGTTCAATGCTTTGTTTAATTAGTTCTATCTTTGGAGGGTTGGTAAACCAGAAAGTGTTATCTAAACTAAACTAACTAAGTGTGATACTAAGTGTGTCTACATTTTGGATTTACATGTAACTGCAACACTTTTGTTTTTGTTTTGTTTTTACACACCGCTCAACCCACTTCCTTTGTCCCACGTGTCACTTCCTGCCGCAGAACTTTGCTGACTTCCTGTTCCGCTGGTACATGGAGAAGGGGAAGAGGGGGAAGCTGCTGTCACAGCCGGCCGCTCAGCACCAGCAGCTGGCCAGCTTCCTGCAGTCACACCAGCACCTGAGCTGGCTGCACCACATCCACGTCCACGACTACTGCAGTGTACGAGACACACACACACACACACACAGCTTGTTTCACGCTTCAGCACAAAACCAAAACCACATCCTCTCTCAGTTTAAAAGCTAAAAAAGCACACACACGTACTCTTTTATACTTCCTCTGTAACTGATGGCTTCTTCATGTATTTCCTCCCTTAACTATTGTTCTTCTTCTGTCCCATCTTTCTCACCCTTCCTTCCTAGATCTGTCTCTCTTTATCTTCATGTTTCCTCATTTTTTTTCCTTCCCTCTTTACTCCCTTTTCTTTTTGTTTCCTCCCTCCTGTCTTCATCTGTCCTCTTTTCTTCCTTCCTTCCAATCTTCCCCATCCTTCCTTTTACCCGCCCTTCCTTCCCTTCTTTCTTTTTCTTTCTTTTAATCCTTTATTTCTTTCTACATTCCTTCTTCTCTCACCTTTAACTTGTTTCCTCAGCTGTTTTTTCTTTGTTTCTTCTTTCCTTTCCTCTATTTTCTTTCCTTCCATCCTTCTTTCCAATCTTTCCTTTTACCTGTCTTTCATTACTTCCCTTCTTACCTTTGTATCTTCCTTCATTTATTCTCTCTCATTTACCTTTTTGTTTTTCCTTCTTTTAATCATTTTGTTTCTATATGCCTTCTTTCTCCTTTTTGTTTCTTCCTTCCTTCCTTCCTTCCTTCCTTCCTTCCTACACACACAAACTCAGTTTCCGTCCTCTTTCAGCAGCGTTAAACATGTTGATGCTCACGACACCCAAAGTATTCAACACACGCACACATTGCACAGCTTCCTTCCTGTTTGCAGTTCCCAAACCCACCCACACAGCAAGGCCACACACACATTCTCTGATTAACACACACACACACACACACACACACACACACAGAAAAAGAAAACCTTCCTGGTTTGAAACACAGCCCGGCTGTATGTTTTTCACTTCTTACTTTATTCACTTTTCAAGTGTTACAAAATGAAAACACTCTGAAAATCAAAAGTTCTTACTGACCAATGTCTTCAGCCTTTTTATGTTCAGAATACAAACGTAAAAAATATAACAAAGCATCTTCCAGTGTCATGTACAAAACCAAAACAAAGAACATCAATCACAACATTATAAAGTGTGTGTGTGTGTGTGTGTGTGTGTGTGTGTGTGTGTGTGTGTGTGTGTGTGTGTGTGTGTGTGTGTGGGTGTGTGGGTGTGTGTGTGGACCCCAAGAAGAGCATCTTCTGCCTAGTTGCATCTAACGGGGATCCAAATAATGAAGACTAAGGACTGTGTTGTGTCTCTGCAGGCCAACCGGACGCTCTACAGCCAGGCCAACATGGAGACGCGGTACTTCGTTAAGAAGAAGACGCTGCTGGCTCTCAGTAAGCTGACGGTGCTCGCATCCAACCTGCCGGAGGACGAACTCAACAAACAAGTCAACGGTAAAATGCACCATTCTTTTTGTAGTTTTTTTTTATTTCGCTGTTTGACAACAGAATCTGATATTTTTACAGTTTGATCCAGATGAAAACTGAAAAATGTGACTTTAAGCAGCTTCTCTACTGATGAAAAACCAGCAGAACGTCGCATAATAGACACGCAAGGGGTGACACCACTACAGTGTGGTCCTGTAACTACTGCCATTATATCGTTTAGCTTTCCAATGTCCTATTTAACAATGTAATTAAGTTGCATTTATTACTGACACATTATTTAATTTGTTACAGAATCAATAGTGCAATAACTGGTAATCTCAGCTAAACTAAACTACAGACAATTCAATGCTTTGGTGAACGGTTTATGCTGCTCATAAAAGGACACCAGAGGACTATTCCGTTGTTCGTAGCGTGCAGCCAACCGGTTTTCACGGTGGATTTGGAGAGAAGCTTCAAATATACTACTTGTGCCTGCCTTGCGCCTCGAGGGATTAACGGTGTCGTTTATCCGTCCGATCAGACATCGTGGAGCAGGAGCGCTTCCTGCTGCATCAGGAGACTCTGCCCCGACAGCTGCTGGAGGAGAAGCAGCAGAACCCCGACACCATGCCTCTGCTCAGCGCTCACAACCTCATACAGGTGAAAAACACACACAAGCACAAAGCGGTCCGTGGACTGAACCACACAACCAACATTCTCTTCACCTCAGCCATGTTGGGATGTGACGATACCATGAGGATTGGTGGCGTCAGAACACCCCCACATGAAAACAACTATGATCTATGCAGAGATGTAGTGGAGTAATGTCTTACCTGAGCAGAGAATGAAGTCGCTCTCACTCTGTGTGTTGCTTTGTTCACAAAGCCGTCGACCTGTTGAGAGCCGATGAGAGGCAAATGAAATGCTCCCAATCTGGTATCTGGCACCTTTTAAGAAGGGAAATGTTTGGAGTGATTTGGGTGGATTAAACTTCAAACTAGAACACATTCCTGTCATTATTTATGTTAACATGCACAGAAAAGCAGGTGGTGTTGTTCTCTGAAGCCCAGTTTATATGTAACCAACTGAAAAAACTGTGAAGTCAGCTGGTTGAAGTTTTATTCTCCAACCAAGTTGCTATAGACTCTTTTGTTTCCCCAATAATAGATGGCATCATGTTTTTTTTTTTAGATTGTGAACGCTTCATAAAGGAGCTGTATTTCCCATTCTGAACATTATAGAAGCAAACAACTAAAGATATGTTGGAGTAATGTCTACCCCTCAGGGAAAACACTGTTAGCGCCGTTAGCTGTGAGCCGCCGGCCATGTTGAGAGCCATTGAGAGGCAATCAGAATGCACCCAATCTCGTGTCTTCCACCTTAAAGTCACAATTACAGATCTTTTTAAGTAAAGTCGTTAAAGACCAAATAATCTGATTTTTGCAGTGGGTTTACTTTTAATTTCTTAACATGGAGAAGGAACCTATATTTCCTGTTTTACGTTGACATTTCTGAAACCAGATTACTGCCATAAGCGATCGTGTTCACACGCTGAACTTAACTCCACTCAGCCTCCGCTCACCTCAGCGTTTCCTCTCCTCAGCTGTACATCTGCGACGACAACAGGCGAGCGAACGAGTATGACTTCAAAAAGGCTCTGGATCTGCTGGAGTACATCGACGAGGTAACCTGCTGATTTATTGGTCTGTTGGAGGTTCGGCTAGTTGGGGTTTGACTGCCGTTGAAAGACAACTTCGCTGAGTTTTTTTCCGTGTTTGTGTTGCAGGAGGAAGCCGAGGACATCGACTCGATGAAGTGCGAGATCTTCGGGAAAGCACTGCGAAGAGACGAGTAAGATCCGTCAGTCGTGTTTTTGTCTAGTCGTTCAATTAGGAAACAGAATTTTTGATTTTGATGATTTTTTTGTTTTGAAAACTCAATTCAGAGCCCTTTGCAGATGAGAGTAAAAAATGAATATCAGAAGAGCAAAAGTTGGAGGAAAATGCATTGAAACACTGATTTATGAACATGTTCACAAACACTGTACGTCACTTTGATGCCGTGTCTCTCCCAGCTGGTCCTCGGCCGACGGGACCGACGACCCTCTGGAAGCCGCCAAAGACAGCATCTTTGTCAAGATCCTCCTCAAACTCATCCAGGAAGGTGAGACACGTACACGGAGTTGCGTTTAGAAAAAGTACCAAAGTACAGCCAGGAGGATTCAAGCCAAAATACAAAACGTGTCATCCCGACATTCGCTGATCAAAAACCCATTGACGTCCATTTGAGCTTGATTTTAGTAAAATATTAATAAAATAATGACACAGGCAAGTATCTGTTCGTATGATATATACACACACACACACACACACACACACACTCACACAGATAAAATATGCTTTGGCGACATTGTTTTTTTAACTTTCATGCCAATAAAGCCACATTGAATTGATATAATGGACATAATATGGATTGAGAAATCCGTATCCTTGTATTAAAGGGTATACTTATTTAATAAAAACATAACTCCATATTTCATGTCTCTTTATTTTCCAGGGGTTTCTCTGCAGACATACCTGCCCGACGTTAAAGAGCTGCTGGAGCTGGACGACCTGAGCGGTTTGAAATCAAAACCCTATTTTGAATTTGTCCTTCGAGCTAATTATGAACATTACCTAGAAGTCCAGATGTGACGACTGATCACCTCCCGGTAACGACCGCTTTTTGCACTTCGGCTTTCATTCGCGTTCTAATGATTTTCAAGATTTGTTTGAATTTTTCTCTTTTCTCAATAAATGTGTTATTTCTGTAGATAGACTGCTGTTTGTTTGTTTTTTAAACGGAAACATAGTTAAGAATAGTTTTTGCAGAAATTGCAGATAGAAAAGTTATTCTTCACACAAAGATTTTTCTCAGAAAAACAAAACTGTGTCGTTTACTGACATCGAGTGACGTTTCTGAAGCACTGTTTTAAAATGAAAAATAACAAAACAAAATAAATCTCAGAACATAGAATTTGCTACAAGTACAGTAAATAAATGTTTTTACTTCGCTACAAGTACGTGCTTCAGTGACTTTGCAGATTCCGATTAAAAATACAATGTATCCTCTGCAGGAATGTGGTTTATGTGTCCGTTTACTTTCTGCTCTCCGTTGGCTTCTTGCCCGTCCGATATCTAAACCTTCAGGACTGGAAAGTGACAGAAACCCGATCCTGTAGACTCCAGAAGCTGGCCTGCATTAGTCAGGACTTCCTCCTGTTTGGTGATGAGGGGCAGATGTTGGTTATAAATAGTTATTTTTGGACCGACCGACTGCCACCACTGACGGGGATCCTCTGTTATGATCCACTTTCACAGCTACACCGCGGCCGCAGACGGCGTCCAGGGTCCCGCTCGGCTAAAAATAGAAGTAGGTGAGATTACGGACATCAGCTCCACATTACTGTTCTGTTGTGCTCTTAACTGGAGAGCTAAACCTTCAACAGGTGGGAACACGTAATTCAGTCTTATCTAATCACACTCTAACACTGTATAGCACTGCAGAGGGTCTTATTCAACTCTCCTAATATAGGTCAAAATATTTAAGGAATCTGCTTTATTGGCCGTGTATGTGGACGCATACGAGGAATTTGACTCCGGTTTTTACATCGCTCTCAACTTACATACATAGAATATACAAATAAATATAAAAACAACAAGGTAGAACAGAGGTAAGCATTAACATTTAACTATGTACAATATCAAATGTAAATATATATCCAAAAGTATATATATGAGCGTCACTGTGTGGACGTAGTGGTTGGCTTCCAGCTGAGCAGCACGAACTCCATGAAATAAATCTAAAGAAACAAAATCCTTCTCAAGCCGAGATAAGAACCATATTTATTTATGTTTTTAAATCAAACCACGTTAATTTACTGAGTCGACATGGTGATAGGACAACGGCTACACTTCACTACATTTTTGTCGATTTTCAAGATATACATTAAAAATCAACCATAAAATACAATGAATACACACACGCATATAAATACACAGACATATACATATTTGTATATATACATACACACATATACATACATACAAATAATAGTAAATAAATAAAAAGAAAATATATATGAATAAAAAATAACAGTAAAAAATATATATATATAATTTATTACTCTTACTTCCAGAACACTACAGTCGACACATCAACTCCTCCGCTTACACTTCAACTGATCTCTAATAATCAAATAGAACTGAACAGACATCTCTGTCATTCATTAAATGCAAACAATATTTGTTTCCCAAAGTAATGTAAAGCAAGGGAGGAAATTAGAAGAGGCCGATCATTAATTGTAGTTTTGTTTATTGTTTTATGTTACCATGTAAGATATATATGTCACCTTTACATCAAGGACCAAGACTAATTGTAACATCCGAGACATTTACTTTTTTTATTTTAAGTTGTGTGTAATTCATGTCTAAGAAACTGAACTAAAAAACATTTTTAAGTTTAAAAAACTCAAAAAATAAGCTTTGAATGGGAGCGTGTACTTCATGTATGTAGACTGTGTGGTTTGAGTAGTCGTAGTAGTAGTAGTACTACTCAACACGCGCCACGAACGGTCGGTGAGTCGGTCTGGTCTCGCTCCATACACGGGCTCGAGCGCTCCGCGGCAGTCTCGCGGGGGCTTTTCTCTCCATATATGGCCCTCCCGGCGCGCGAGTCTCTCTCCGTGTGCATGCATGCGGCCGACCAAATATGGACGAGGTGACCGGTTGAATTCCTGTCGAATACTCGGACATTCCTAACGGCTGTCTGGGGTGGTATGGAGGAGCGTATATAAGGACTTTTGGTGGTCGCTGCCGGCCGCACCTTTTTAACTGGAACCAGCAGCAGCGGTTAAAGTTTCCTCACTGACAGCCGGAGACAAGCAGAGGTAAGCGGCTTGGAGGAGCGGGTGCACCGGGGTGCGCTGGTACGGTTGGAGAGAGAGGGAGAGATTTGGTAGCCGGCTTCTGTTCACCTTCAGCGGTTAGAAAAAGCATTTTATTTTGTTATGACAGGACAACTTCCTGTCAGGGAGCCAGACCTGCTGCGTTCTGGTGCTGTCGGGAATTCTAGTGTTTTTAGTTGGAATGCCACAAAAAACTGGACAAATGGGAATTTTCTAAATAATGTAATGTTTAACAGTTAGTGTACAGTGTGAGCCATTCTAAAAGGGGAGTGAAAAGTTTTCAGATTCAACGGATAATATTTTAATTTTAAATCTAAAATAGTTGATAGATTACAGTCTAATCTAACAATTAATCTCATTTCTCATGTGTTCTTCCACACAGACAAACTATATATAATACAACAATTATAATGTCTGTATATATAATATTTTAGTTAATGTGGATTTTTTACTTATTTAATATTATTTACTGTTTTATTACTTATTTATAATACTATGTCTTTTGGTTGCACTATCCACTATGCTGCTGTAACCCTGTAAATGCCCCCACGTATAAAGGATTATTTTATCTTATCCAATAGAATTTGGCAACATCAAATTATTCCAAGAGACATGCATGAGGGCGTCCCCGGTATATTTTCTGTCTTAAGGGGTTCTTGGCTGAAAACAAAAATCGAGAATCTCTGGTGTAATCAATCAGGGTAACAATTGTGATTTATGTAACATTGTACAATCTTTTTACTTAATGTATATTGAAAATAGCCAGTTTAGAATGCAGCAAAACATGAATCAATCTTCTCCCAAAGCTTTTTATTAATACAAATGTGTTATTAATCATAATGAAAGTGTTGAAAGAAGTCTACAGTTAAGTAATAATTTGAAAATGTAATAATAACTTGTGTAGATATTCTTTGAAGTTTTGAAGGAAAATAATGAAATAGAAAAATATCACAAATAAAATGATATTTAGTTACAAATGTATAACATCAAACACACACTAGGAAGGGAATCAAGTCTGATTTATATTGTTGTACCACACTGAACTTGTTTTTGTTTTTACATATTCCTAACAAAGAACACTTTGATGAACGACAGCTTAATATTCAGATGTAGGACTTTATGTGGAGCACTTGAAGGCATCATTAAACTAAATGAGGGTTAATGGTGTTTCTGTTTACTACCCTCTATTGCAAGCTGAGTAAACTGTTGTCAACTCTGGTTTAATGAGACGCAGAACCCAGACACTGCAGGACGGAGTGAGGACATTTAAGACTTGAGTTATAGTCATCCTTTTATTATTCATACAGTTTAAATAGAGCTGGGAGTGTTTCATAGGAGGAAATCAAAAGGAATAGGATCTATTTGTTGGCCAGCTGTTGATTATCATACTTCCCCTATTGAAGAAAAGCAATGAAATATAAAATAATAAACATTTATAAAATATTTCCCTAAAACAAAACAAAGGTTTATCTCTGGTATAACAGAATGAAAAGCCAAAATGTATTAATTTAGGTCAGAAAGTTTGGTGTCAGCTTTAACAAATGCAAGCTTGTTTTTGGTTAGAATTAATAAAAAAATCAACAATAACAAAATTAGATGTACAACATGTATTAATGACTGTGGTGATACATTCTGTCATTCTTACATGATCGGGTTCATGCTTTCTCTTAGGTTTCTTGTGTGCATTCAACTTGTAATTGTTGCATTTCTGACAGCACATGAAGGCAGCTACTAAAACTAAAACACATGTCAGTTTTTAATTAGTTGTTAAATCTCTATGTCAGACAAATAGCCAGTATAAATGAATGTTGTTCTCAGTGTATCTGCTGTAATGAGACTCACCGGCCTCCTGACCTTCCTCCTCCACAACCCGCAGACATGTGTGACGACGAAGAGACCACCGCCCTCGTGTGCGACAACGGCTCCGGCCTGGTGAAGGCTGGCTTCGCCGGAGACGACGCCCCCAGGGCGGTGTTCCCCTCCATCGTGGGCCGGCCCCGTCACCAGGTACACAAAGAGCATCTTGTCCCATGATGTGTATTATACCATAGACCTCCTGGTTTTAAGCTGCGTTTAAAAGTTATGTTTCACTGAGTCAAACAGCTCCAGGTATTGACCAGCTTTTAAAAAAAAATGTTTTGAGGACTTTCTTCTCCACCAAGGAGGGTTAAATCACCTTTGGTTTGGTGCTTGGTTTAAAGTCTGCCATGCACATTCTAACTCCCAAGTTGAAGCAACCAAATGATGATTAGACTAAAGACTCAACTTGGAAACACAAAGTGACTTTTATTTACTTTCTTTAGTTTATTCTTTTAAAGTTTAATACATAAAGAACGCATGCATACTTGTCTTTATAGAAAGCTGACCTTGGCTTGGTACATTACATCATCAGAATCAGGTTTATCACAAGTCACACACAAGAAATGTGTTTTTGTATTTCCGTGAATAATGGTCACAATTAACATAGTAAGAGAAGAGAGTACACAGAAGTTTACAATAAAAAAACTATGTTAAAAAAATAAATATTGGTTTGAAAACTAAAAGAGCTGTAAAATGAAGAGGATGGAGTGTACAAACTATTGACCAAGGAGTGTGGAAATGTTCCCAGTATAATGAATGTACATGTAGACTTTATGTTGGTGTATCGTGTACTCTCCATGGTCAACTTGATGCGCTGCATGTAGATCTCTACATCAGCTCAGGGCCACAGGCAGCAGATACATTCATACAAATAAGGAACATAAACAACAGATAAAATGTGTTGCAACTTACAATTTGGGACCAAAGCTCTCAGTGTTGTTCATATCAGGAAGAATAGCTGAAAAAGTTCTTGGAGTAAAGCCCTGTAAACTGGAGTAGAGTTGTAGAGGATGAATATAATGGCGGTGGACTTAAAGTAATCTTGAAGTCATAAAACATCCTCCTCCCCTCAGGGCGTGATGGTCGGTATGGGTCAGAAGGACTCCTACGTGGGCGACGAGGCCCAGAGCAAGAGGGGCATCCTGACCCTGAAGTACCCCATCGAGCACGGCATCATCACCAACTGGGACGACATGGAGAAGATCTGGCACCACACCTTCTACAACGAGCTGCGCGTGGCCCCCGAGGAGCACCCCACCCTGCTGACGGAGGCCCCGCTCAACCCCAAGGCCAACAGGGAGAAGATGACCCAGATCATGTTCGAGACCTTCAACGTGCCCGCCATGTACGTGGCCATCCAGGCCGTGCTGTCCCTTTACGCCTCCGGCCGTACCACCGGTGAGTCTGCCGCCTCCGTGTGTTCAAGAGGTCAAGGATTATAACTTCTGGAGCGGTATCTTTAGATAGAAATGCATTTAGAACCATATATCTACTCCTTAAATAATATCTGGTTGTATTTGGAAAATGTGGACAAAAGAATACGCAGAACTTTTCTGAGACAGTTACAAGTACACATAGTGAAATGCACATTCCTTTAAAAGCCCAGTGTTCATTTTTAAATAATGTTTTGACCGATCAACATGTGATTTACACGATTTGTGCATCAATTTGATTTAGTTTCTTGATTGTCCAGTTATTTAATTAACTGAATTTGCCAAAAAAAACAAACATATCTATTTTTCAGCTTCTCTTATGTTGTGTTTTATCGCTTTTCTCCATTTTACATCATGTGAACTGAATATATTCTGGTTTGGACTGTTGGTCTGACAAAAGAAGACATTTGAAGACGTCTCTGGGAATTATTAGTTGAAATACTAACTAACTATAGAAGTAAATCACTGAAATAAACCAACTTTATAGCCGGTGACACCTGATCTAGACATCAGGGCAGAAATGTTGTGTTGCAGTAATAAATAAAATATTGAACAAGAACTTGTAATTGAGAGTATTGTCGTTTTTCTGCTCTCAGGTATCGTGCTGGACTCTGGTGATGGTGTGACCCACAACGTACCCATCTATGAGGGCTACGCTCTGCCTCACGCCATCATGCGTCTGGACCTGGCTGGTCGCGATCTGACCGACTACCTCATGAAGATCCTGACGGAGCGCGGCTACTCCTTCGTCACGACCGGTAAGCGCTTTCACGGCAACACGAAACACATCAATTCAATTTGATTTTAAGACCTGAACTCCAGAAGCACGTTAGCTGTAGACATGAACCCTTTTCCTCCAGTTACTCTAACAAAAATATGTTTGAGAGATTTTAAAGTTTCTTATTTAAAGATTACAATCATAATATACATGCAGGTACATACATGAATTTTGGCCATTCAACCCATCCTAAGCATTAAGAGCAGTGTGCTGCTGTAAAGCGCCCGTAGAGCAACTTGGGTTTCAGTGTCTTTTACGAGGACACTTCATCACGTTGACATGGAGGACCTGGGATCGAACCGCCTACCTTGTGATTAAAGGACGCTGTGTCCGCTGAGCCACAGCCGCCTGCTTACAAAGTCTGATATTTCCTCCTCGTTTCCAGCTGAGCGTGAGATCGTGCGCGACATCAAGGAGAAGCTTTGCTACGTGGCTCTGGACTTTGAGAACGAGATGGCCACCGCCGCCTCCTCCTCCTCCCTGGAGAAGAGCTACGAGCTGCCCGACGGTCAGGTCATCACCATTGGCAACGAGCGTTTCCGCTGCCCCGAAACCCTCTTCCAGCCCTCATTCATCGGTGAGTAGAACTGCATCCTGGCATGATGAGTGAAGACATCACAGCAGCAGCTTTCCGCTCCGAAATCTTGTCATTTTCTTAACCTGCATCTCTCTGCCGCAGGTATGGAGTCCGCTGGTATCCATGAAACCGCCTACAACAGCATCATGAAGTGCGATATTGACATCCGTAAGGACCTGTACGCCAACAACGTGCTGTCCGGTGGCACCACCATGTACCCGGGTATCGCTGACCGCATGCAGAAAGAAATCACGGCTCTGGCTCCCAGCACCATGAAGATCAAGGTAACCAACTCTACGTCACCCTCGACTGAATCGTACATCCACTAAATGACCAAAAGTATGTGGACACCTGAAAATGACACTCATAAGTGATAGTTCAACATCTAATTCTGAAACCAGGGGTATTAATCTGCTGCTGTAACAGCCTCAACTCTTCCTCTGGGAAAACTTCCCACATGATTTTGACTCCCATTCAGCCACAAGAGCATCAGCGAAGTCCAACACTGATGTTAAGTGATGAGGCCAACAGAAGACTTTCCATTATAAGAGTTGTGGTTCATTACAAAATGGCTCTGTACCGACCAATCAACACCAAACAGGGGATGTCCACATAGTTTTGGTCATATAGTGAAGCAGATGGGATTTAGAATTGTAGGAAGCCGGTATTTAGTTAATGAAGAGAAGTACAAAAAGCTACAGTATCTTAATATAATCAAAAAAATGTTTAAATCACGGTTGTAGCTAAGGGTCATCTTCATTTCTGATTAATTGTTTCGTCTTTAAAATGTAAAATAGAGAAAAACGTTCTCTGAGACTTCTTCAAAGTATTTGTTTTATCCGATCAATGGTCCAAAATCAAAGATAATCAATTTACAATTATATAAAACAGGAAATAAAATCAAAAAAGTAAGCTGGAAGCGGAGAATATTTGTCATTTTTTCTTTTTGCTTGATAAAGTACCTAAATGATTACTCGATTTTAAAAGTTATTGCCAGCACATTTTTCTGGCGACGGATCAGTTACTGGACTAATTATTTCAGCTGAAGCTCAGCTGATGTTCATTCTTCACCTTGAAGACCAACTATTCTCCCCTCAAGGCCATTTCGTGGCTGTTGTGGAGCTTTTGAGACTGGAGTTCATTTTGAAAGTTCATTTTCTTGAATTTAGCCTGGACTAGAAGTTCTTAGTGTGCTCTACAATACCATTGCTGATGAAAACATATTATCCTTACCTTGACCGTGTGTATATTTGGGATATTGTGCATTTTTAATTTATGTTTATTGATATTGTATATTTACACTTTCTCCTACTTTGTACTGCAACTGCTGCACAACACTTTCCCTGAAGAAGGATAACTGAAGTTTCATCTCATCTTAAAATCAAACAGGAGAACAGCTCTTCAATGGACCTTGCAGTGAAACTATTTTGTCTTTTACAGTAAATGATAAATATGGTCTGCTGTGTTTCTTGCTTTGTTAGCTTTTTCAAACAGCCAGTGGAAGTGTCTGAAGAATTAGTTTTAGAATATATCGGCTGACTGAGTGATAACTGAGTCAGTGGTGTCATCCTCCCGTCTGTTACGATATGATTATTATAAGTGCTATCAGGCAATAAAAAATAAATGATTTCCTTCTCTTCTGCAGATCATCGCCCCTCCTGAGCGCAAGTACTCCGTCTGGATCGGCGGCTCCATCCTGGCCTCCCTCTCCACCTTCCAACAGATGTGGATCAGCAAGCAGGAGTACGACGAGGCCGGTCCCAGCATCGTCCACCGCAAGTGCTTCTAAGACCACCTCAGGATCCAGAGCAATAAGACGCTGCCGTCCCAGGACTCTTTAAAACAACATCGTCTAACCTGTACATATGTTATTTATTCCTTCTGTTATGTGATGTGTGATGTTTTTTTTTTTTTTTTTTATGTGAATGATGTCCGGTGTGTATGTGAAAGATTCAAAGGTACGACACACTTCAAGTCGGACCAACGGAGAAAAAGGAGACAAAAAAAAACACGGAAAAGACCAAAAAAGAAACGAGACAATGACATAAATAAAGTTCATTTATTTTCAAGTACGACTGCTGTGTGCTGTTTCTGGTTCTCAACACATTGGATGTTTGTTAGACTTTAAAAAAAAAAAAAAAAACACAAAATATAATTAAAATGTAGTTATATGAGGTTAAGTAAAAAAAAAAATAGAAGGTGTATAAAGGCTCTATCAGAAATAAAAGTCATGCATTCAAGATTTTACTTCAGTAAAAGTACAAAGTATTTGCATATACTAATACAATACACCATTGAATGTATTAATGTGTTGCTGATGGAGCTACCTGTAATTAGTATATATTACAGTATATATATTAACTTTATGTACATACTGCTGTGTGTGTGTATATATATATATACAGTATATGACATTGACATAGGCTACGTAGACTATGACATAGGTTGATACACATTTTATGACATTTTTATGACAAAGTATATGATGACATTTCTAATGAAATACTGTACAATTACCTTTTTAATGACTTTTTTGACATACAATAATATAACTTTTATGACTTTTGTCAACATACTATATTATTATTTTTTCAACATACTTTACTTAGACTTTTTAAAACATGCTTCACTATGACTTTTTTTTGACATGTTATACTATGACTCGACATACTATAGTGTAAAACATGGAGGATAAAATATAGGTTAATGTGGTATGTGTGGAGATTTTTTGATGTTTGTTTTGTTTTGTATGAAATAATGTCAGTCTGTTGTCTGATCCACTCTCCGGAGCAGAAGGTGGCGCTAATGCACCAATAAGCTGGATGCAGGTTTTTCCTGCATTCAGTGAATATCAACTTCATTCACTAAATGAAAGAAAATAAAATCTCTTTAATGCGGTATTCATCTTGAGGGGAAAGAAATGCTTGAAGTATTTATTTTCCTTCAAAATGAACTCAATAAAGAGCTCCAGTTAGTCAACATCTAATAACTGATGCAATAGAATAAAATATAAATAAATAAAACAATAAATAAATAATAATTGTGCTTATCTCACTTATTATTTGCCATAAGAGCAGTAAATAATCATTTCAGAGTAAAATTCTGCTAGTTCAGTGAATTTCACATTTATATAAAGTACAAAACAAGTTAATAAAAACACTTGCATCAGCATTAAAGTTACAATCTTGACCCAAAATAGAGAGTAGATAATGAAATTCTGTCATTAGAGCTCTTTTACTATATATAGAGAGATGTTTTGGAGTTTTGTTTGTTTTATACACCCTGGCTCTTATAGAGATGATATTCAGTTTCAGCTCATTTATACTTGGAATGAAAAAATGTAGCTTGTCTTCTGTGCAAAGAATAAAATTGTCTGTGATATACAGTATAATATCATAGTGTTGAACATTAAATACATACAACGGTGTAGAAATGGAAACGACAAAACGGTACGTTAATGTTTAAATAGTTATTATGCTTCGTTATAATAGTATATATTTTATCAATTATATTATACAAGTACAAATGTTACGGTCTTCACATACGTTTGTATCTACATGTGGAACTAAATGTTCACAAGCTTGTTGGTGCTACTCGGACCTTTTATTAACGCACAACAGTCCGTCTCGGTATATCTTCCGGAGTTTGTCTGGAGGAAACGTTTCTGTGGTTTAGTGAAAATGTCTAAAGTCCAAATGCTGAGATGTTTTGTCAACCAGCGACTAACTGCGGCTGCTGAAGAGATATTTGATCTGTTTGAAAGAACGATAGCAGAGTACGAGGAGGAACGTTTTGCTTTAAAAGAGCAGAACGAGCGACAACGGAAACTCCTGGATGCTGTTTTCAACCCTCAGCTGCGGTTACACAGAGCAGGTTGGTTCACTTTATTAATTAGGGCCCGAGCACCGACGTAGTCGGAGCGGAGGACCTATTGATCTTCTGATGTTTATTATTATTATCGTACGTTTTCATCGAGAAAAGGAGGTGCCTGGGATACTGGTAATATTTTGAAATTTGGCACGCAAGGCAGTCACTGCGGTCAAGTCAGCAGACACTCAGATCTCCGTGGTCAACTCAGCAGACACTTAAATTTTAGTGCACCTATACGCTGAAACTTACGGTAAACGCAACCAAACGGCACAGATCGGGAGCGAGCGAAGGACTTTGCAAAGTTAGCGGAAAGATTAACGTGAGACAACTTCCTGTTTTCTACAGACGAACATCCGGTTTTCAAAATAAGATGCCAACAAAGTATGCATATTGCATAATGGAAATAAGATTAAATGAATTATATTCCAATAAGTAAAAAAAATGATACCTTCATCTCGTGAGTTAAAGGGAAATACACCTAAATTGTGTGTAAAGTGTCTTTATTCTTTGATTTGAGGGTTGCTGGAAATTAATAATACCTGACCTGAAGTTTTTAAGGTGCTATGAAAATGTTTTTCTCAAATGAATTTGCGAAAATGACTCAACAGTGATTGTCAGAGCTACCTGCACAAACAAACGACCTGCATTTACTTTGACAGTGTTACTAACACTGAAGCGCATTCACACATTCAGTTTTTTGTCAATTTTACAGGCTTCCAGTTGTGATTGTTTTTGGAGGTATACTCAAAACATTCAAAGCTTAAGACTGGCAAAATGACCTGGCTACGCCATTGGTCGACACATGAATTACTGTTTAACTCGTACACGCAATGTATGATGGTCACAGAAATGCATGGCCGCATCAACCAGAGTCCTGCCAGTACCCTCGATGTCCGTGAATATGCCCCATCAATGCTGCTTGCAGCTTTAATTCTGTTCATGCTCCGGCTGATAACGTTTCTATGTAGTTTGGAGTGAGACTCGGTTGATTCAATGAACCTTTTTTTTTTTTCTTCTTCTGATCTGTTCTCTCAGCTTCTAGATGACAGAAAATATTTACACTTAAAGTAAAGTTTGTTCTCTTTAGCAACGCCAAGTGGATTTTGCAGTGTGTTGAATTCTAAAATGATTCCTATGTTCATGGTCACATAAGAGTTTATTAAAATATTATATTGTCTGGGTCCATTGATACACTGGAAAGGGGGTGCAGCGTACATTGGTCAACTATAACTGCTCACATGATCAAATCTCAGCCGGACTTTATGCAGGATGCAGGTTCTTTGAATACTTAACAATGTTGATAGTGCCACACTTTTTTACCATGTAAACTATTGATGACCTCATTGCTGCTGGTGCGTTGTGTCTTTACAATTTGTGTCGGCATGTCTGTTTGGTAACTGTGCACAGGGAGTGTAAGAGGGAATGATGGCAGGAAATAAAAGTGTATCTACAGGAGACTATTTGCTCAACACTAATATTTCTTTGTAACGTCTCTGTGTGTGTTTACTGTTTTCCTGCAGATGTCCAGCAGCTGTTGGTGGTTCAAGAAGAGGTTCCCCCTGAGCAGCAGGAGTGGAGCTCCGGTCTGGACCAGGAGGACCCAGAGCCCCCACACATTAAAGAAGAACAGGAGGACCCAGAGCCCCCACACACTAAAGAGGAACAGGAGGACCTAGAGCCCCCACACATTAAAGAGGAACTCTGGACCAGTCAGGAGGGAGAGCAGCTTCAAGGTCTGGAGGAGGCAGATGTCAAGTTCTCATTCACTCCTGTGAAGAGTGAAGATGATGAAGAGGAAGCTCAGTCCTCACAGCTTCATCACGGCCAAACTGAACAGATGGAAACAGATGCTGATGGAGAGGACTGTGGAGGACCAGAAGCAGACAGGAAGTCAGGTCCAGATAGACAACCAGATACTGATGACAATGGAAACTCTTCTGTCACTGATGGCAGTGATAATTGGAAGGAGACCAGAGAACCTCAGTCAGGTTTAAACTCTTTGAAACCTGATGAAGTCCATGTCAGTGATTCAAGATGTAGTGCTGGTGAGAAACTATTTATGTGCTCCGAGTGTGGGAAAACAACTGGCAAGAGTGGAAATCTGAAGACACACATGAGAACCCACACAGGAGAGAAACCTTTCAGCTGCTCAGTTTGTAAGGAATCTTTTAAACAGGGTTCAACTTTAAAGAGACACATGAGAATTCACACAGGAGAGAAACCTTACAGCTGCTCCGTTTGTAAGGAATCTTTTAAACAGGGTTCAACTTTAAAGATACACATGAGAATCCACACAGGAGAGAAGCCTTTCAGCTGCTTAGTTTGTAAGGAATCTTTTAAGCAGTGTTCACATTTACAAACACACATGAGAATCCACACAGGAGAGAAAACTTTCAGCTGCTCAGTTTGCAAGAAATCTTTTAAGCAGGGTTCACATTTACAGAAACACATGAGAACCCACACAGGAGAGAAACCTTTCAGCTGCTCAGTGTGTAAGAAATCTTTTAACCAGCGGTCACCTTTAAAGATACACATGAGAATCCACACAGGAGAGAAACCTTTCAGCTGCTCAGTGTGTGATAAAAGATTTCGGCACAAGTCAGCTCTGAAGTCACACATAATCACTCATACAAGAGACAACCGGCTTTAGTGGTCCTGTTTGTATACAAAAGGTAAATCTGACACACCAAATGGCACATAACGCTGTCCTCACACACAATTAGCCCCCGCTTGTGATCAGTGACACAATAAACCTTGATTGCTCTGAGAGATCCATGCTTTGTTTAAGTTGACGCTCTGAAGGCAAATCACTGTCAAATCACTGCGAAACTCCCTCCCGCGCTCATATTATATACAACTACATTATATCGCTTCTGTAAACACAACAGTATGATTAAATATGATCACATCATGCTTTAATCAATTAAGATCAAAGAGTTTCTTTGAGCTGTTTGTCACAAGAGGTTTGAGTATCAAACACATATTGTCTGTAATAGAATGATGGAGTGAATTTAACCAATCTGAGTAGCTTGACTCCATTTACGAGAGAAACACATTTTTAATTATTGTATTTCAAAACACTCTTAACATAATTTGTATTTCATCAGCCTCTACAGTTTGAAAAGTTTACAAAACCTGTCAGACAAATGTAGAACATCCTGAGATGTAGCGTTTAGTGGTGGATTGAAACCACCTCTATCAGAACTAGCGTCTGCATCAGAGTGATATCCGGTCTATCCAAAGACGAGGATTGTAACCAATTAGATGTAGAGATACAATGGAGACTGGGTCCGCCCACTTACTGTCAAAAAGAAAAACTATTTGCGAGCGAGCAGGTTAAAATTTCCCAAGCGAGCAGGTTAAAGTTTCGCGAGAGTGAATTTTGCTTGCGGAGTGATGTAAAAGCACTCGTCAAAGTAAAATACGCGTGCGGCTGTTTGATTTGCCTTCATATGACGCCGCCTCACGTTGTCAGGGAGCTTAGTACTGTCTTTAGTTTGATCCAGTAGACTAATTGAGTTTTTATTTTCTAGTTAGTGTTGGTTTTCTAGAGGAGTCCGGGGCACGCTCACCTGGAAGAAAATGTTGTGAACTGTTGCACCCTTGTTGCCATATTGAGAGCCGTGTGGAGGCAATCCTTCAATCATAAATTTGTTCCGAGTTTGTAATTTAAAACATAACAAAAGTTTTAAGAAACACATGAGAATCCACACAGGAGAGAAACCTTTCAGCTGCTCAGTTTGTGATCAAAGATTTATGCGCAACAGAGATCTAAAGGTACACATGAAAACTCACACAGGAAACAATCCCTTTTAGCCCTTTTACCCAATCACCCCTTCGCATATCCCATAGGGCAGCGGCTCAATGTAGATTTTTCGGGTTGTTCCTGGTCGAAGCATATGTCTCATGTCCCGGAAAGCAGACCCTCACTGTCAAGTTATGTTGTTAACATGTGCACTTTCCCCACTTGAGAAGGATCGATGAGTCTACCCAAAGGATTTCTAACTGGATTTCACTCAATGACCAAACAACTTTTCTTTTTCCTTTTATTTTGGTAGGTTCAGCATAGTAGTTTTTTCATCACTAAGCCACTTACTGTAGCGTCGTGTAGTGTAGGTTAAAAAAAACCTTTAAATAGAAAAAAACACAGAAAACAAAACACATATTCAATATACAAATTAATGTAAACAGGCAAAGCATTCATGATGGTTTAAGTAATAAAGCACCAGTGCCACATTCTATAATCTAAATATGTTCTGATGTATTTAAAAGCACATACAGTTAATGTTCACTGCTGCCATAACTTAACACCAGGTAAGTAATTATCTCTGGGCCATGGTCAAGCCCTACACCCCCGCCCGACCACTTCGCTCTGCTGCCTCGGGGCGATTGGTTGCCCCGTCGCTCAGAGGTCCCTACGGCCGATCGACCCGGTCCCGGCTGTTTTCTGTCCTGGCCCCACAGTGGTGGAATGAACTCCCCACTGACGTCAGGACAGCGGCGTCGCTGCCCATCTTTCGGCGCAGGCTGAAAACTCACCTCTTCAAGAAGGCCTACCCTGAGCCTTCCACTTAGCACTTATAGCATCTATTGTATTCATACTAGCTTATTGCACTTATTGTATTCATATTAGTTTGTGCCACTTATTGCATTTGTTTGTTTCTGCACTGTACGTTGGCTCTGGTTTATGCTCTTAGATGCTTGTTTGAAGAGAGGAGATGCACTTATGACTTCTGGTGACTAGTAGTTCTCTTGAATACCGATGTTGAATACACTTATTGTAAGTCGCTTTGGATAAAAGCGTCTGCTAAATGATTGGAATGTAATTGTCCTCATGGTACAGTAAGATTCATATTTATTGAACATTATGTAATTACATTACATTATGTAATGTAATGTAATATATTATACTTCATTTCATCACAATTAGTGATCAAAAGTGAACCAGGATGTACTTATTATACCATCAGCAAACAATTAAAACTCAAACTATCACCATCTACCGTGCTTCCACCATCATATGATTTACAACCAGATAGAAAACATTACCGGATAATCAATCATAAACAAAGCGCGATATCGTACACCAACGGTTTAAATTATCGCCGTATGTATTTGCTACAGATCCCCGTGACGTAATACTAACCAACCGGTGACGGCAGTGATCTTCACGTCAGCTACAAAGTCTCTCAGTTGTTGCAAAGTTCAGCTCTGTTACCGGCTGCCTCTCCGGACTGTTAGACTCTTCAGTGATGCACAGTCATATCGCACATCTCAATACCATGCGATCTCTTTTTTTGCGGTGTTTGTCCGGCGTGTCACTGCGTGTCTGCTTATCTAGATTTCTAGCCAGATTGGTTCCTCCCTATTTCTTTTCTGAATAGTCAGATTGTCAGTATTAATTACTTTACAAACTTCTTTACTTATTATTTTATTTACAATTAGCTTTGATATTTTTCAGTTCTTTATATTTCATCTATTTACATAAAAGAAAAACCCTGTTTGACTTGACACTCACCAGCAAGCTCCACTCCCAGGTCTGGCTCCAGAAAGGGGCCCCGGTTTCCCTGTTTTCGGCCCAGCTGCCACACCTCTTTTCAGATGGTCAGTGAATTCTTGGTCTGAGAACACAGGTCACAGGTCACACACACGGCCCTAAACCACGTTAAGGTGATTTATTGGAAGGTTGTAACATTCAAGATACGTTGCTTTCTGTTAATATTTTGACGTTACCCAGCTTTATAGTGTTGGTTTTACCGTTTAAGTTTAGCTTATTTGCTGATGTAAATATCTTCTTGTGTAAAGTTATTTTGCATGTTTAGATCCAGAATTTCAGAAAAATACCAGAAGGCAATTCATGTGTTG